GGGGGCCACTGCCACAGAGGACACTGATGGCCAAATAAATTCCTTAAAATGCCAAATCCTAAACCAAACCAGAGAGATGAGTTCATTTTAGGTTACAAAACTGCCCTGACTAATACTGGTCGCCTCAGAACTTTCAACGTCCCTCAGGCCAATTAGGGGTATACAGTTAAACATGCACACATGCAAAAGCAAAATCAAGGATGTTCTAAAACGAAGGGCGGCTCGCTCAGTGGGGGAAACAAACTAAAGTGGATGAGGGTCTGTTGTTGTTTGAATGGCCATCCCGTGCTTCCAAGAAAAGCAAAGGGATGTTCCTCAAACACAGGACTATTCCCAGTTCCAGGATGAATCTGGCCGAAGGGATAAGCTGGGTGATCAGAATGAGATGGGATGGGATGGGAAACGGAATAGGGATGGGGAGGGAAGGGAAGGGGAAGGGAGGGAGGGGAAGGGAAGACAGAAGGTGGGACTGTTCATTGTCCATCTTCGAGAGAGAAATCCTCAGCCAAAACAGCCGGTATGTGACAGGGAAACTTTACAAGCCTTATTCAGTTTGTGGTTCAAATACCCCCTAATTAGTCTCTTTCCTCCATCACCACATCTGGAACTCTAAAAGCATGGGCAAAGTTCCCCACAAGGCAAAACAAGCAAGGATTATTTTGGATGCTAACCTCCCCTGCTAGCCCAGAAATGCCTGAGACAGCATGTTTCCAATGAGGGAGCCCCAATAACGTTAAGCCTTGAAAATTCATATTCTGGCATTACGCAGTTTTGAAGTACTAAGAATTATTGTTGGAACGGAAAGCCCAAAAGATATTCTTTTCAGAAGCCCCCCCCCCCAAATAAAGGATACTCGTATGCTATGCCCTTTTTACCAAGCTACAGGCTGGCGTAGTTAAAAACTGCCCCCCCCCCAGCTCAACTTGCGAACACGACTGAGCCCCAAATTTAGGTTGCTCAGTGAATCGTTTGTTCAGTGAGTTTTGCTCCGTTTTATGACTTTTCTTGCCGCAGTGGTTAAGCGAATCATTGCAGTTGCTCAATTAGTTCCATGGTTATTAAGTGAATCTGGCTTCCCCACTAATTTCGCTTGTCCGAAGGGACCCTGGGACGCTGCAACCGTCGTAAATGTGAGTCAGTTGCCAAGCCTCTGAATTTTGATCACATGACCATGGGCAGGGATAGGCAACCTTGCCTCTTTTATGACTCGTGGACTTCAACTCCCAGAATTCCTGAGCCAGCATGGTTCAGCTTGGAAACCTCTCCCTTTCTCCTCAGCATGGCTGGCTCAGGAATTCTGGGAGTTGAAGTCCACCAGTCATAAAAGAGCCAAGGTTGCCTATCCCTGACCATGGGGATGCTCCATCGGTCGTTAAGTGTGAAAAACGGTCTTAAGTCACCTTTTTCACTGCTGTAGTAACTGTGAACGGTCACTAAATGAACTGTTGTAAATTGAGGACTGCCTGTATGTGGCTCCATGTGTGGGGAAAAGGAATTTAGCTCTACTTTAGACAACAGATGGTAGTTTCTGAGTCAAAAGTAGGACTATTCTCATCATACAGATCCCTAGCATTGGAAATGCCCAAATCTTCCACGAAACAATGGAAACTGTCCCAAAACTGCTAACAACACACACTTTTTACCAATCAAGGATTGAAAAAGTATATCCCTGGCAAATGAACTGCTTAGGGGGAAAAAACCTAGATCGTTCAACAACTTTGGGGACAAGCTGAGAAGGCTTCAGGCTTTCAAAACACTCTGCCACAACCTCTTTTTATAAAGAAAGAAGCCACTGATGTGCCAATCCAGGCACCAACCTCTCTGCCTCGCCCTACGGAGGCCATTCCTTCGCTATCCGCTCTGCCCAATCGATTAATTTCGCCTTGCTTTTGGCTAAGCACAGCCTAGTCTGATTCACTCCCCCTTGCACGTGAACCAGAGAGCGCGACTCACCACAAGTTGAGCATTTTCAGGCAGCTACAACAGACAGTGAGAGGAGAAAGGAAGGAAGAAAGAAAGACAAATAAAAACACAGAAAGGAAAGAAGGAAACATTAGCTCAGAGTAAGATGGAAAGCAAGTCACGGCAGTTCATGCAAACGTGCATTGTGGATCTGAGGTCCTCACCAGCTCCACCTACTTTCTCGTGTCTGGTTCTACCTAATCCTCTTGTAATCCCCGAGGAAGAGAGAGACCATGATGGGCACTTCTGAGGCATCATTTCAGAGCACCAGGGATGAATATGAGCGGGGGGAAATGTGTTCAGTGAGGCCCTGGCAAATGAGAGCAAGATGATTGGGCTGGAAAATGCTCTTGGGAAAAGAAAACCTTAAGGCAGTGTTTCTCAACCTTGACAATTTTAAGGCATGTGGACTTCAACTCCCAGAATTCCACAGCCAGCGTTGCTGGCTGTGGAATTCTGGGAGTTGAAGTCCACATGCCTTAAAATTGTCAAGGTTGAGAAACACTGCCTTAAGGAGACTCCCTAGAAAGGTCCAGATGCAAACACGTTAACGCTTTGATGGGCAATAATGTAATAGCGCTATGACATAAGACCGATCACTAAGAATAAAGATGCAACTTTACATTCGGTTAGAAGATGCTTCTGGAAACGCTGTCAGCAGGTGGTTTCAAAGAGGCTGGCCTGGCAAAAATCAAAAGAAGTTGCAAAACCTAGGATGAAATTGGACTCCCAGCTAATTCAAGGCACTATGAGTGTTGGCTGACTGAGAACCATCTGGGAAATAATCATTGCCCCGAGATAACGGAGCATAAACCTTGGAAGTACCATTTCCGTGGAAGGTTTGGTTCGGGAGAGGCACTGTGCCACAAACATTGACAACAAGTGGAGAACAATTGTGATTTCCAGGGAACAATTAACCTTTCCTTTAACTTCCACTTCAATTACAGCTTTCAGTTCTGAGCTGCAAATATCCAAAGGACCACAGTCAGTTTTCTGTTAGCTGTTTTGCAATCCAGATCCAACAATCCTAATTTCTTCCATCCTAGAAGGAAACTTATCTCATGAAACTGGAGCAGGACGTAACGTTTTCAAGGACAATGTCCATGACACGGAATCCTAGGTCCAATTACTTGGGAATAAAAGATTCTTGGAACTAAGTAGGATTTGCTCTAAATCAACTTCCAGAGATGAGGAGAACCAGGAGAAAAGTAGTGAGCCCACATTCCTTCAGCCTGACTGGCCGTATCACAAAAATGATGGTCTAGCTTTGCTTAGTAGATACAGAAGGATTATTCTGGCCATTTTATTAATGCTATGGCCCAAACAGACATTCTTAAGGGCTAAAGATTAGCTGTTAAAATTGGACCATAAGAAAGGCTGAGCGCCAAAGAATGGAGGCCTTTGAACTGTGGTGCTGGAGAAGACTCCTGCAAGTCCCCTGGACTGCAAGGCGTTCGAACCGGTCAGTCCTAGAAGAGATCAATCCCAACTGTTCTTTAGAAGACCAGATCCTGAAGTTGAAACTCAAATACTTTGGCCACCTAATGAGAAGGAAGGACTCACTGGAGAAGGGCCTAATGCTGGGAAAGATTGAGGGCAATAGAAGAAGGGGACGACAGAGAATGAGATGGCTGGATGGAGTCACTGAAGCAGTAGGTGTGAACTTAAATGGACTCCAGAAGATGGTAGAGGACAGGAAGACCTGGAGGAACGTTGTCCATGGGGTTGCGATGGGTCGGACACGACTTCGCAATTAACAACAACAACAACAAAGATTAGCTCATTTCCGTAACGTTTCCTGAAAAAAAAAAAAAACCCTGCTGCTAAACTGCTGAAGAATCTTCCAGCACTTTGTATAAATACAATAATTTTTTAAAAATTAACCTAATCTCTCTATCCCGTCTCCACCCTTTTAACCCTAGAAAGTCACTGACCACCTGCTGGGTGACAAAGTTATCAACTGGAAAAGAAAATCAAAGACCACGTTTTTTGTCACAAGGATACTTGTGCTTGTTAAAATAAAAACAATAAAATTCTCCCAAGCTCAAAGATGTTATAGAGTTTTTTTTTTCCTTAAGGGAGAAGGTGAAAATGTTTGCAAAGTGATCAACTGTTTCTGAAAAGATTTTTTAGGCAATTACTTCCTCTTAGCTGGGGCTTCAGAACCTGAAGCATAATTAAACTTAAGGCACAGACAACTCGTTTTTTTGGAAAGGACATTCTGAAGTTCACCTTTAGTCTAGCAAAGAGGATGACGTCTGTCGTAAAACTTACAGAAATTTTGCTTGTTATGATTGCTGAAAGACTGTCCAAAGTCTCAACGCAAGATAAAGTAAGGCAAGACAAACAGCACTGCTGTGCCCCACTAAGGAACCTTCTTCTCAGTGTTAATTAACCAAATATGTTCTGACCTCCCTTATGGAGAAGAAGAAATTAAGGGGGGAGGGGGGAGAAGCTCCCTATCATGGTTCCCGCAGTGCTGATAAATCATGCACAGTAGCCCTGGATGGTAGAGATGAAAATAATGGTCTTGACTTCTAACAGAAGCAGAATAAATCCCACTGCAGGAAAAATAACTCACAACTTCCATGAGCCAGAAGAAGTTCCCTATTGGACACAAAATCCTCTCTTTTCAAAGAGGAGTTAAAGCACAACAGAACTTCAATTTTCAGAAGAAGACTGGGAATGGAGAAGGAGAGGACACAAAGAAATTGAAATGGTTCAAAGTGCCTATAGGAGCAAAAGCTACAGCCTTAACTCCTGGGGAATCAGCTACACATGCCAGTTGCAAATTCTGCTGAAACCCTCCGTCATATCTGCAGCACATGCATTGACCAGAAGTAGCATGACCTGGACAGCCCAAGGGGGAAAAAAAGCTGCGCCCAGCAACGCCATGGTTATCCATGCAAGAAAGAAAGCGGGGGAAAAAGGGATCTGACCACACGTAATGGGCACGGGTGCATCAAAGCCTGGAAACACACCAACATATTTTACATGGAGATGATGCAGGGATAAACCTTGCTTGACAGCAAACATACTTAGCTTCCTCTACTACTTCCACCTCAGTACGGGCTGCAAGTTGTACATTGGAGGGTGCTCCTGCTGGCTCTTCCACATTCAACTCACCATTGGTTGAGCTTACCACCTGAAAAGAATACAAACCAACAAACAAAACCCTGTTAATAAGGGACTTGAAGCCAGTGTGTGTGTGTGCGTGTGTGTCAAAGCCGCATCAAATACAGCCTAAACCAGTGGTTCTCAACCTTTTTAATGCCACGACCCCCAACCGGTCGTAAGTGGAGGACTACTCAACCGGTTGTAAGTCAAGGACTACTCAACTGGTGCAGCACCGTTTGCAGAACGGGACTTTTGGCGGGCTCAGCAGGGCAGAGACAGCCTGGACAATTCCTATTGGCTTTTGAAAGCCAATAGAATTAGACTCTATTCAAGAGAGTTTATTCTGTTGGCTTTCAAAAGCCAATAGAATAAAAGGGAGGAGCACAGCTAAGGAAAAGGGGGAAAAAAATGGCGGACTGCGTTGTTTGGCGACCCCCGTGAAATGGTCGTTCGACCCCAAATGGGGTCCCGACCCACAGATTGAGAACCGCTGGCCTAAACCAAGACATCTTGAGGATCCCAGGTGGGTTATCAACCCTATTCTCCTTCTCTCTTGCAGCCCTCTTTTTCTTCATCTTGGCACATCTGTTGATCAGGAAGCCAAGGGTGTGATACCCACAATCAGCACCAAAGGGGGAAATCACGTTACCAGTTATTCTGGCAACGGAGTACCAGGAAGGAAAACAGAAAGTGGTTTCAGGGTTTTTTTTGTCCATGCTTAGGTCTCTCTTTTTGTGCAGAAGATCCTTAACAAGTGTTTGACTGACAACATACAATCCTGCAAGGAGCAATGGAGCTAATTTTTAAGCTGGCTGCAGCGCAAATCCTTTGAAATCGGAAGAATCAGGAACATACTTACCACCACAACGGAGCCCCAAGTTTCTGCTGCTAAGCAAGGCAGCTACTAAGTGAGTTTTGCCTCATTTTACAACCTTCCTCGCCCACAGTTGTTAATCACTGCAGTGGGTAGGTTGGTAAGGCTGTGAAGTGAATCGGGCTCCCCCCGTTGACTTTGCTTATCAAAAGGGTTGCAAAAGGAGGTCACGTGACTCCGGGACTCTGCAACCGTCATAAAGATGGACCAGTTGGCAAGCGTCTGGATTTTGATCACGTGACCCTGGGGGAACGCTACAACGGTAGTGTGAAAAACGGTACCATAAGTCCCTGTTTTTCTGTGCCGTTGTAATTTCGGTCACTAAATGGCCTCATGTTGAGAGCTACCTGTACTATGTGACACAAGACCTGGCCTTCCTTGCATGAGGAGAAGTGTATACGGAAGGTGGATTTGGACAAAGCGTCTGTGTTCTAGGTTCTGCCTAAAAATCTTTCCCCAGTTTAAGCCACCTCCAGATGTGGATTAATTCCAAGATTTCTCCAGCCAGATCGGTCTCCCTTGGGAATCCTGCTGAAGTCCACATCTGTGGAAGAGGTCCAGATGGGGAGAGGCTCTCCTAAAAAAACCCGCAGGGCAATACAGCAACATCGTGTCAACGCTGCTAACGTTGGATGTTCTTGCTTTGACAATATATAAGAGGCAGCCGCTCTCTGTATAAGCTGTGTGGTATTTTTAGAGTTAAATTAGATGATGCTGGGAGGGGAGGCGAAAGAATGTGTGTGGGGATTAGTTTTAAGATAGAAGGGAAGGGAAACAATGAATTGGAGAAAGTGATTTATGACTGCAAAAAAGAGAAGGGAATTAGACTGGAATACTATGTTCTCAGAGGAGGGGAATTCAGATCTTGGCATCCTCCATGCTGTGCCCACACTCTGTTACACAATTAAAGACTTTTTAGGATAAACAATGCCTGGACGTTCTTTGAACTGTTTCATGAGTCGGAACCTTGACACATCGCACTTAAGTTCTCAGTCTTTTGGCATTCACACACTTCTGATGCCATGCCCACCCACCCTCATCATTCTAGCACAGTGGTTCTCAACCTGTGGGTCGGGACCCCATTTGGGGTCGAACGACCATTTCACGGGGGTCGCCAAACAACGCAGTCCGCCATTTTTTCCCCCCTTTCCTTAGCTGTGCTACTCCCTTTTATTCTATTGGCTTTTGAAAGCCAATGGAATAGACTCTCTTGAATAGAGTCTAATTCTATTGGCTTTCAAAAGCCAATAGGAATTGTCCAGGCTGTCTCTGCCCTGCTGAGCCCGCCAAAAGTCCCATTCTGCAAACGGTGCTGCACCAGTTGAGTAGTCCTCGACTTACGACCGGTTGGGGGTCGCGGCATTAAAAAGGTTGAGAACCACTGTTCTAGCAGAAGCCAAACGGTGCAGCTAAAAGGCGGAGGGGACCCTGCACATGCCCAAGGAGCGATGGCCAAAAAGCTGTGCGGGAGAGGAAAAAAAAAATAAGCAATACCTGGACAGATCCCCCATGCCGGTCGGTAGCCAAGTGAGAGGTCAGAAACAAAGTATTGGCCTGCCGGACTGCTGGAATTTCCCACTCTCCTCTGCGCTCGGACATAGGCTGCCCAGGTATCAGCATGCAGGAAAGCAAAGAGAGCAAAGAGGGAAGGCAAAAAAGGTGAAACGGAACCAAGCAAGCATGTGAAAAAGCTCAAGGACAGGGAAGCAAAGCACTTCAGGCATCAAATATTCCCTTGGACAAGGCTGCCGAAAGGCACAAGGCAGTCAAGGCAGAAGTGCATTCCCTGAGGTTAAAATCAGAAAAGAAATCTATATACAGGGTAGTCCTCGGCTTACGACCACAGCCCAGCCCAAAATTTATGTTGCTAAGTGAAACATCTGTTAAGCGAGTTTTGCCCTATTTTATTCTCTTATCTTGAAGGGAGTCACTGCAGTCGTTAAATTAGTCACACGGTGGTTAAGTGAATCTGGCTTCCCCACTGACTTTGCTTTGTCAAAAGGTCGCAAAAGGGGAATCACGTGACCCCAGGACACTGCAGCCATCATAAATAGGAGTCAATCGCCAAAGCGTCTGAATTGTGGGCCACATGAAAACTGGTCGTTAAGTGTGAAAACTGGTCACAAGTCACTTTTTTCCAGTGCCGTTGTAACTCGGAACGGTCACTAAACACACTTGTAAGTCAAGGACTACTTGTACTAGTACAACACTCGTGTCTGTAGCTGGACGAAATGCTGCATCGTAACGCAATTTTTTTTTTCAACCAAGGTACCTCAAATGGGCTAACAGAATGCATCCAAAATCCAGGATTTTAGGATGCTCTTGGAATTGAAATTTGGCTTAGGAAAATATTTTAGGTCATAAAAATTATTGCAAAGAATTTTAAGACGTAATAGAAAAAGTCACAAAATATGTCCTGGGGTCAGCTGCTGGGGTTTGACTGTGCTAGACAGTTCCGTGTGGGCTACTTTCAAGGCAGTGACATCTCTGAAAAGCTCCCTGGATTTTTAAGCACTTTTTAAGAACATTGGAAGCTCTGCCGTTGTGGAAGGCCCTGAAGAATGAAGGTAAGGAAATATCTCAGAAAAGATGATCCAAGGAGTCACAGCTAATCTAGTCTCTTTTTAAAAGTCTGCAGATCTGAGAGGTATGTTTTATAAATGTATTGGTATTTAGAAAGAGCTTAGTTTGTTTATTATGTCACTGCTTCTGTCAACTGATTGTCAGTTATTTCTAAACCCTGTTGCTGGCGTAGTTCGAATATTTATTGATTTTATTTCTCTTGCGATCTTGATTCTTTACTGCATATCAAGGAAGTAAAAACAAACAATGAGGGCGCAATGAATGAATGGGCCCTGCATTTCAGCCTGTAGAGCAGTGGTTCTCAACCTTGACCCTTTTAAGGCATGTGGACTTCAACTCCCAGAATTCCACAGCCAGCAATGCTGGCTGTGGAATTCTGGGAGTTGAAGTCCACATGCCTTAAAATGGTCAAGGTTGAGAAACACTGCTGTAGAGGGAAAGCCACTTCAAAAGGCCCATCATCATTCTCACAATAATGCACTCAAGTAGATTTTGAAACCAAAGGTGAGCTAGCAATTCTGCTGCTCTCCATTCTCAGGCTGTCATTTCTTCCAACTAGCATCGGGGACCTGAGTATTTTCTACTCTTCTTTTAAAGACATATCCACACACCCCCTCCCAAAAGCAGCCCCAGCAGAGTTGTTAAGAGAAAGCTTGCTAGACAAAAACGAAGAGCGGCATTAATAAGGCCAATGACAGCCCTGGCTTTTCTAGGTGTCCTTCTGGGAATTAACAACAGACTGGAAATAAGGAGGCACATTTTAAAGCACTAAGGCATAAGGTGAACCAACCTGATTTCGGTAAGGCTGTACTGAGGATCGATCCCGATGTAAATGGGGATCTCTGATCACGGAGGGTCCTGATTCCACATGCATGGGTCCCACCGGAGTGGGCTGGAAAATAAAACATAAGACATGGAGTGTGAATCCCATTCAATCAAAACAAAACAACGTAACACTTCCCCCATTCAAAAGGGGGGGGGGAAACCTTCTGAAAAGAAAAATAGAAGTATGAACACCTAGGTTTGCTGGAAAGTTCCTGACAAAACACAGGAAGTCCTCGACTTACGACCACAATTTCAGTCATTAAGTGAGATGTTTCTTACATGAATTTTGCCCCATTTGCCCCTTTCTTGCCACAGTTGTTAAAGGAATGGCTGCAGTTGATAAGTTAGTAACCTGGTTGTTAAGCAAATCTGGCTTTCCCCATTGGCTGTTTGTCTGACGGTCGCAAATGGGGATTGTGTGACTCTGGGACACTGCGACCGTCATAAATACGAGTCAGTTGGCAAGCACCTGAATTCTGATCACGTGATCACGGGGATGCTGCAAGGCGTGTAATTGTGAAAAACGGACATAAGTCACTTTATTCAGTGTTGTTGTAACTTCGAACGCTCACTAAATGAATTGTTAAGTTGAGGACCACCTGTACAGGTAGTCTTGATCTTGCTTTCCAAATAAACGAGACCATGACGCTCTGCCCAACTGGCTTTTAAAGAGAAACTTCTGGAAGAGCCGAGGTGGCACAGCACTTAGAGTGCAGTACTGCAGGCCACTTTAGCTGACTGTGTTCAGCAGGTCAGCGGTTCAAATCTCACCGGCTCAAGGTTGACTCAGCCTTCCATCCTTCCGGGGTAGGTAAAATGAGGACCCAGATTGTTGGGGGCAATGTAAATATATATATACATTGCTTACTGGTGTACACCGCTTAGAGAGTGCTTGCACTTAAAGCGGTATATAAGTCTCATAAATAAATAAATAAATAAATAAATAAATAAATAAATAAATAAATAAATAAGATACAGCAGATGCCACAGGATTGCAACTCACAATTGGTCTGCCAACCCAGTCGTAGGCATAATCGAAGGCGAATCCCCTCTTTTCAAATAATTCTGTGAAAATCGTTCGCAGGTAATCGTAGTCGGGTCGCTCGAAGAAGTCTAGTCGTCTGACGTAACGAAGGTAAGCGGCCATCTCCTCTGTTAAAGGGAATTAGGAAGAAGCAACATCAGACAATCTGTTCAGAAAGAAGTAGAAGCAGAATACATTTCAGCGTTACCTCCTGGTCAGATTAAACCCCCTAAATTATCAGTTTACAGAGGCAGGTGAGATCAACAAATCTGTGGCCTGGATGGGCGACCAAGCCACGGTTCTCTAAAAGGGCTTCCTTAAGTACATAACTGAAATATTTGCAGACTTAGGAAAAAGGACTAACTGGCAAAAACAATTAGTAGGCACCCACTCTGGAGAGATGGCTTTTATTCATATCGTTCTCCGAACTGTTCAAACGCGCTGGTGGGTATAAAGATCAAATACGTAGCTAACAGTCACTTCAAAAACTCAAGCTGAAGCAGAAATTTATAGACTTAATGGATTTTAATGCAGGTGTATCTTCACACTCACACACGCAGGGCTGATAAAGAAGGCGATGCAGTCTGCTTGCTTTAAATAGCCTGAGTGCTGCTGGGATGCAAATTATAACCTACATATATTGTGAATTTATTACACTGAAGGGCTGTTGAGCTGAGACTGAAAGAGCTGAACTCAACAGAAAGTCCAAGTCATAAAAAAGACCAGGTGATTCAGAGCAGAGATAGGCAAGGCTCTGCCAGGGGTTACGTCATCTCTGAAAGAACTGAAGTAAGCTGATAGAACTTCACATTCTAAAGATGTTTCAGAGGGACCCTCCCTCATTTAATCACTGTTTGCTACACACATTCAGATCTCTTCTTTCTTCTCCTTGGTTAGATAAGAGAGTCTCAAGCACTACAGTCTTAAGTTTCCAATTTTAGAAAGCAGTTTCAACACGCAGTTTCAAATTCGGTGATCAAGAAGCTATCTTCTGGCAGATACAGAACTGAACATGGAGGATAGACTGGAATTACACCAACTACGTTTTTCAGGGTCCATCCTGGCCATTGGCACAAAGGTTGATAGAACCAGAAGCTATAAAAATATCTAAGAGAAGCATCAAGAATGCCTTTCATCTGTTTGCTCCAAGGAAAATAGGCTTTGAGCACTTCACCTGGAACTTGCTATGTATTTTAATCCAAGTCTATCATCTATACTTGGGGTGTCCAACTCTGGCAACTTTTAAGACTTGTATACTTCAGCTCCCAGAATCCCCCAGCCAGCATATCAAATCTGCTACTTTTAGCCTAGGCAGCACAAACTATTCACTGCAGCCTGCAGAGGACGGAAACACCTAGGTGTGTGGCTGTAAGCCAACTGCAAAAACATTTTATCCAACGGGAAGTGGATTGCAACATGTGTCAAGTGGTCACAAACCTGATAAACCTTGATAAGATCTGCCTAGTTAATATAAGCATTTGAGATGTCAGGAGTTTGAAAGTAATTATTCATACAGGTTCAAGAAAAAGTCGGATTTTAAAGTGTAATTGAAATCTGTGGCCAACTCTGAAGATAGTCGTGTATTAAACTATGGTTTCCAGGTATGCGCATATTTTTTATACTAGCATATTTTTCGATACTAGCTACTTTCTAAAAATCACTGTCTTGATAGTTCTTATTTCAAGGAGTAATTTACAGAAACGATAAGCCACCAGAACTGAAACTTACCTGGGAAGTTCTCACAGAGAACATCAATCGGAGTATTCCTCTTTGTGTCCCCAATCTTCTGATATCGCTCTTTCAGTGTATCAGCCTGTGAAATGCAGAGATTCTAATTTTAAAAACTATTAGTGGGTCGTAATAGGTAGAATGTGGTCCTGGAGAGAAGGTCAGATGAAGCAACCAGAGGAACAATCTTTAACTAAGTCCTTGCATGTCATCTGATACGTCTTTATTTGCACCATAACTCAGTAAGTTTTGTTTTTAACACCAACACTAAAAAAAAAAGAAATCCGCAAAATAAAATAAAATCGGTCCAATTTCTGTACACTATCTTTCCTTTTAACTTGCTGGGAAAATTACGATCATTCATAATTGTGGGAGGTTTGTGGGGGGGTTTGTTTGTTTGTTTGTTTTACTTTTCTGGGATTTTGTAAGCCACCCAGCGTTTTCTAGAATGGCCTAACAAATCTAATAAATCAAATTAGGTGGGGCAAAACCTGGATGTTAACAGTGAGAGGTTCTTTCCAAAGGATGAAAATAAAAATAAATTGTCAGAAGAGGCACATAATTAACACATCTGCCAAAACCCAACTGATTAAGCACACATTTTAGCATCTACCTTAAGGCCTTGCCAGGGTAAACTGCCTCGAAGGAAATACATGAACATGTGTCCAAGCGCTTCCAAGTCATCTCGTCGACTCTGTTCTAAAACATGGAAGAAAACAGAACACTGCTCTAACATCTTAATCATATTACGCTAGTAATTACATTCCTAGTAATTAACTTAACTCCAGTGAGAAGACATACATATGCAGACACGTAAGCAAGGAGCCTGAGAAATTACTGATTTAGTAAAGGTTTGTTCTATATGTACAACAGAATTATTTTTCATATTCTCTAGACAGCCATTCTCACGTTCAAATGGAACACATCTGTGTTAAAACTAAGCTGGACAATCTGGAGTTCTCCAGATGTTTGGCACTATCATTATTTCTGACTTTTGCTCAGATTTATTTATTTTATTGGGTAATGTGTGTTGTTGTTAATTGCGAAGTCGTGTCCGACCCATCGCGACCCCATGGACAACGTTCCTCCAGGTCTTCCTGTCCTCTACCATCTTCTGGAATCCATTTAAGTTCACACCTACTGCTTCAGTGACTCCATTGTCGTCCCCTTCTTCTATTGCCCTCAATCTTTCCCAGCATTAGGCCCTTTTCCAGTGAGTCCTTCCTTCTCATTAGGTGGCCAAAGTATTTGAGTTTCAACTTCAGGATCTGGCCTTCTAAAGAGCAGTCAGGGTTGATCTCTTCTAGGACTGACCGGTTTGAACGCCTTGCAGTCCAAGGGACTCGCAGGAGTCTTCTCCAGCACCATAATTCAAAGGCCTCAATTCTTTTGCGCTCAGCCTTTCTTATGGTCCAACTTTCACAGCCATACATTGCAACTGGGAAAACCATGGCCTGGACTATACGCACTTTTGTTGGTAATGTGTACACCTGACTTATTGCTCTCTTAATATAAATAGGTTTAAAAGCCTGATTTATCCTTGTTTTGTTTTTATTCCTAATGTGTGGAAAAGCACAATATTTCAGTTCATGTGTCACAATGAATAATGGCAGAAGAAGCTACTGTGGTTTATTTTGCTTGCAGAAGGAGACGAATAAGGAAAAATTGAATAACAGCACTAGTAATTCCCATTTCCTATTAGACAACAATTCTGAAAATGCTGGCTCACTAACTCAATCCCAACTGATAAACAGCTATGCAAGGACATGTATTAGTAATGTAAACTTCTCTGAAGTCATACTTATTGCACGCATGCCGAAGTCATATTGCTATCTAATTTTAAAGAGAGTCACAATACGAAAATTAACAGCTCCCAAACATGTTTGCGTGATATAAACAGCCCAGAAAACTATCAGTTAATGCAGCATATTATACCAAACAAACCTTTGCCCAGATGTGTATTAATGGACATATATCTTGCTGTTCCAGTAAGGCTCTTGTGTTCTCTGTAAGGTATATGTTTTTGTGTTTCAGGATCAATATACTCCTTGGCCAATCCAAAGTCTATTATGTGGATGACGTGTTCTTTCTTACTTCCTTGCCGGCCAATGAGAAAATTCTCTGGCTTGACATCTCGATAAATGAGATTCTTTGAGTGCACAAATTCCATTCGAGTAATCTATAAAAAGGCGCAACTGTAAGTTATTCTAGATCTCTGATCTCTTAGATCTCTTAAAAATCCTTTGCTAAGTGTTCAGGACTAGGATTTTGAATTAAAGTTCGCATGAACAGGTTCACTAGTTACGAAAATACCTACTAGCTATATATACCAAGATGCTTTTTTTGCCACAGTGAAAATGCATTCCTTTATTTAGCTCAGTGGTTCTCAACCTGTGGGTCGGGACCCCATTTGGGGTCGAACGACCATTTCACGGGGGTCGCCAAACAATGCAGTCCGCCATTTTTTCCCCCTTTTCCTTAGCTGTGCTACTCCCTTTTATTCTATTGGCTTTTGAAAGCCAATAGAATAGACTCTCTTGAATAGAGTCTAATTCTATTGGCTTTCAAAAGCCAATAGGAATTGTCCAGGCTGTCTCTGCCCTGCTGAGCCCGCCAAAAGTCCCATTCTGCAAACGGTGCTGCACCATTTGGGTAGTCCTCGACTTACGACCGGTTGGGGGTCACGGCATTAAAAAGGTTGAGAACCACTGATTTAGCTAAAGGAAATGGAAAATATAAGCAAGTAGATCATAATCAGTTTAAGAAGCTACCTTGTAAAGAACACAAAGAAATTGTTCTGGCTTGCGCATTTTGTTCATTAAAGATGCTGGATTAAATTATTGTCCTATACCAAACATGTCAAACTCGCAACGTCACGTGATGTCACACAACGTATCGGGCCAGTTGCGGGCCGGCAGTTTGACACCCCTGTCCTATACTGTTACACCAAATGAACCAAGAAAAGACCACAACATACCCCAAACTATCTAACAGTCCCCAGTAAACAGTTTGAAAGCCATTGCCCATAATCTTATTTCTGTTCATAATACTCATTTGATGCAGCCACAAATCTTAGCCACAAAACACCTGTACTCAAACTAGTAGCTTAGCTTAGTTAGTGCTCTCTTATGTGCTTGAGCTCCATTTTGGAAACTCTTTGCTGATTCAATGCTAGTTAAATAAAGCCAAAATTAAACTTATAAAGGAAAGTTTCCATAAGAAGAGCCAAAAAAAGAGGCTGTAACTGGAACTATTTCTATACGTGCTGTAATTGGAAATACTTTGGGTTGGAAGAAGGGAGGATGTTTACACAACCGTGAAGTTGTTCCTTTACTCACCAGCTGAATTGCTATCATTAAGACAGTCTTCAGAGTGAACGTTCTATCACAGAGGTCAAACAAATCTTCCAAGCTTGGACCAAGGAGCTCCAGGACCATGGCGTTGTATTTTCCACATGGACCATAATAAAATACCTGTGGGAAGCCTTCAACTGAAACAAATACAAAAAAATAATAATAATAACTACACACAAAAAAAACCCCTCAAAACCACAGCTTTGGTGTGGGCCACCCAAATAAAAGTTCTAGAAAAATATATCCCAGATTTCATTTGGTCTTTCCTTTTCAAAAGAGATGGGGAACCCCAAATTTTGAATTAGACCTATGCCAGTGCAGTCATTCTTGACCACAGTTATGTCACGGGCAGAATTCAATTCATTAAATTTGATGATGGCTTATAGAGCTAGCTCAGGAGTAGACAATCTTGGCTCTTTTATGACTCGTGGACTTCAACTCCCAGAATTTCTGAGCCAGCTATACTGGCTCAGGAATTCTGGGAGTTGAAGTCCACGAGTCATAAAAGAGCCAAAACTGCCTACCCCTGAGCTAGATAGATAGCCTCCAAGATAGGTTACTCTTTTTTTTTCCATTTAGGACAAACTGAATCAAATCACCAGCTACTTTTCAAAGGTACCACCAGGTTTCAAATCAATTGATAAATGCGATGTGGAGAGATATTACTTTAAAAATGCAACGGTGAAGATTTTTGGGGTACAGCAAATGTTACTTTGGCTCCTGTCTTGCATCTGATGATATGCACTACATTTATCACTGCTAAAAACTGCACCTCTGATATCTAGGATATTTGTGGTTTTCAAATACATGCTTGGGTGAGTCCCAGTTTCATCCCACCCCTTTGCCACAATTTATTTTAACCCTTAGGAGAAAGAGGTCTCACCTGATGAGCCGAGGTGTTTATAAAATCTATACTCTAAGTGCAGTTGTGGGGCACGAGATTTTAATGGTTCCTATAAAACACAAAACAATGAAACAGACTGATTTTTTTTAATGGTGGATTGTTTCACTAAATTACAATGTAGGAGCAGGAATACATTCAATCAATTTTGCAAATTTGTTTTCCAGTTTGAAATACACACACACACACACAGAGCCATTCAAAGCAAGACCTTTCTATTGTAAAGTTTTATTTTCTGCCACTCAGTCAAATTTCAGAGACGGATGGCTGTATAAATGTGGCTGGATGCTACAAAAAATTGTCTTGTTGGTTAACCTTCACTATGCAGAAATTTTTAAAAACCACAAAACTACTCACCAGCTTGATTGCTACATATTCATTTGTGTAAAGATTTTTGCCTGCAAGGGAAAGAGAAATGTGTTTCAAATACCAAACAGGACATACAAATTGTTATTTTTATCTGTTAGGGTTTTCTAAAATTTTTTAAAAAGGTTCAATAGCTTATTTTTTTCTAGTATCAACTTTTGTTTACAATTCACGTGATCCTCAATCATCCATCTTCTGAGATTAATTATTCAATCTTTAAAATTTATTCTATGTATTTTGGAAAGTAAATATATACAGGAAAGAATTATTCTTCAAAAAAACTTTACCAGTAGAGGTGTCATCCAAGCAACAAAAGTCCCAGTTAATGTCAAGAATTCTAAACCAAAGTTCACTAACAAACAGGAAGTCAGAAACCTGTGTTACACGTATGTATTATATGATGCCTGTATGCATTTTAGCAAAAGGTGAAGGAAAATGTTGCTATGAGCCGTGTTTTATATGTACAGGTAGTCTTGGACCCTAATGTGTTTAGGATCACTCAGTTACAACAGCGCTAGGAAAAGTTATTTATAATGCATCCTTGCACTTATGACCATAGCAGCCCTAGAGTCATGTGATCAAAATTTGGGTATTTGGCAACCGGCATGCATTTATGAGGGCTGCAGCATTCCCAGGGTCACGTGATCCCCATCTGCAGCCTTCCCAGCCAGCTTCTGACAAGCAAAGTCAATGGGATAAATCGGATTCACATGGTCTCTTAACCGTGGCAAAAAGATTGTAAAATGAGGCATGACTCATATAACGACTGCCCTGCTTAGCAATGGAAATTCTGGTCCCCGTTGGCTCGTACCTCGAGGACTACCTTTGTATAAATATGAGATGCATTCCCCCTGGCAATATTTTCTAAATCAGGGGTCCCCGACCTTTCTCGGTTGGTGGAGCAGAGGGAAAAAAAGGGGAGAGTATTTTACACACGTGCATGCACAAACGGGACCACACTAGCGCAAGCGTGATGCAAACAAGGTGACACTAAGGCCCATGTGACACTCTCAAGCCCCATCCCATTTTGCTGCACGGCGTCCCGTTAGGCCGTGTGGGTGACCCATTTTCACGAGGCTGCAGTGCGAGTCGGTGTGAGTGCACGCACACACATGCATGCACTGGCCAGCTTCTCCCATAGCCTAGTGGGCCACAGCCCACGGGTTGGGGACCCCGATTCTAAATAATCACATTACAGGTAGTCCTCAACTTATAACAGTTCATTTAGTGAAGTTACAACGGCAGTAAAAAAAAAAGTGACATGACTGTTTTTCACATTTACGGCCGTTGCAGCATCCCCGTGGTCACGTGATCAAAATTCAGTCGCTGGGCAACGGACTCACATTGACAACGGTCACAGTGTCCCAGGATCATGTGATTCCCCTCTTGTGACCTTCTAACAAGCAGAGTCCATGGGGAAGCCAGATTCACTTAACTACCCTGTTACAACTGCAGTGGATCTAAAGTTGCTTAACAAATGTCTCACTTAGCAACAAAAATTTGGCGCTCAGTTGTGTTCGTAAGACAGGGACCAGCTGCTAGCCAGAACTGGAAGCTCCTGAACCTGCATTGCTCTTACCTAGCCTGAGCTCCCCAAAATTGCCGCAGCCGATCTTCTTGCCAACCCTAAAATTGGGCCCGACCATGAGCACTCCAGCCGCCGAAGTGGAACTTGATGCTCGAGAACTATGCGTGCTTCTTCCTGGATTTGCTTTCCCTGTTCGCCTTTCATCTTTCTCCCTAGTAATATGGTCCATGATCTTGCAATAAAAAATATCTGGTAGTTAAGTAAGATTTGGTCTTTGCACTTATTCTTGAAGAGAGAAATATAGATCCAGAAGAATCATTGGGTCAAACTATAAAATACTTTGGAGATCTTTTGGCATCATATCCAGGCTGTGCAGGCACTGTCGCGGAAGGTCCGGGGATGACTTCACTTGAGTCCTCAGCGAGGTAGAGGAAAACCTTACGCTACCTTCAGAGGGAGAAAGTACAAAAAGGGCAAGATCAAAATCCTATCTGGGAAGAAAGAAGGTAAATCAAAATAGGGTCCTTCTTATGTATCAAAAGCAAATGACTCAAAGAGTTGTTAGACGCAAAAAAAAAAAAAATATCAGGAAGATTAAGACAAAAAGCTATTATTTGAGGGCGCCTGCATTTGCTAGACAGCCAAAACAAACTATGTCGAAGTTACCGATCCCTGATACTACAGGTTTGCGATTTACTTGTAACCTAATGATAGGATCCTACCTGGCCTGGAAAGGAAAGGCATAAAAGCATTTTGCTTGTTCAACCCCCCAAAATTGTTTGTTCCAACTACATGTTTGTGGTGAAACCAATCTGGCTGGCTGACACTGAGTCACTACACTCCCCCTAGAATGTAAGAACCTCATGGAACTTAGGTGGCTGTGATAACACAATGAGCTTTACAGGAGTTCAGGAAAAGTAGTGGGCCATTAAGAAGGCAAGGCACCTTTGTCCTGAATAATCCAGAATGCCCTCTTCTTTTGTCTTTTAAAATAGTAAGTAATAATGGGCAAGACTGTAAATCATCTGGCAAAATAAAATATATAAAGTATACAAAAACGTGAAGTAAAAAATACCCCAGAAATAACACATCTGAGCTGCACATATAGATAACTACCTATAACGGCTAATATTTTTTATGTTGAAGCGATTTTCTCCCCCTACTCCTATTCAAGCCAGCAGCATGAAAAGGGAGAGAAAACTGAGCTTCAACCAAATCTGAACTGTGTGGTTCTCATAAGAAATTTGCCTTGAAAGCAAAACAGTTTAATCTTTTGGTGTCAAGTGTGACTTAAAACAAAAGAGGTGTTTTGGAATAAAAGAAGTTAAATATTCTGATGCATTAAACATATCAAAATTTGAGACCTAAGCAGAAACTCAAGTTTTTTGTTTTTAAGGAACATCTGAGATCCGTTCTGTATTACAGCAATTTTTAGACACTGCTTGATTGTTTAGAGGAGACAATATTTTGAGTATCACAAATAGAAAATCACTCATTACTGGGACCAGCAATATGCCACCCACATATTTAACATTTTCATTAGATTTTGACTGATATGCCAATTAAATATTTTTTACTCTGTCCTATATCATATTAACATTTCAAATGTATGCTGGATGAATATTAAAGTTATTTTTAAAAAAAAAATCAGTTGAGTATCCCATGATATAGTATTGTCTAATGCAACTGCCACAAAAGAAAAAGAAAAAGTGCCAGAAATACATTCAGATAATTAATGCTACTACAGTAAGCAAGGAATACAAAACTGCTGATGGGTTATATGTGGAATTACTTATATAAACATCAAACTAATGGGGGGGGGAGAACAGAGTTTATAACCTGATTTAAGAGTTTGGTTCTAAAATCAAAAAGCCAACTGAGCGTATTAAGACGCATCCATTTCAAATGAATTACTAAATAAATACCATGAACTAATGCAACCACCGACTCATCAATACATATCAATTATATATGTTTTCAATTAATCTGAACAGATTTTGAAGAACAGTCAACAACCGAAGATGGTTGCCATGGAAGTGGCACATAGCTGTGCCCACGCAACAGCATTGAGAAGCTGAAAACAAGTAGCTATAGGAGAAATTGATAGTGCAAAAAGGCTGAAAAGAGAATTAAGCACCACTGGATTTTACTCTGCCCTAAGTAACCCCTAAATAACAGAGATTAATAAACAACATTTCTCCTCTTTTTATTCCCAGCTTACTGACTGAATGAATATGACTACACCATGCTGTAATCCATAGTCGTGGTGAATATATTATAAAGAACTGAAGAAGCTTCTTGGATAAGAGGTGAAACATTTTCAAGGAAAAACCAAGAGAGCCCAGTAGACTTTTGAATCGCAACTTTGGGACAATCATGACCTGAATGATTGAGAATCTCCATAAATATTTATTATCAAGAAGTATTTTTAAAGGAAGTTATATAAATATCTCTGTTGTCGTCATTTATAAGTCTAAGGTGTTTCATAAAATTGTATTCCATAATTTTAAGAACATTTAATCACATTCCTCCAAAATCAAAGGCATATATGTCCATATAACACCAGACTGTCAAAATAATTATCTGTTGCAGATTTTTTTTTCTGCCAAACAGAAAGAAGTGGTGTTCCATATGTGAACTTCTAGCAAAAGGTATAATCTAGGATTTTTTTAAAAAAATTACTACTATACTTTGCTCCACTTTCGAAAACTGTGTTTATTCTTTCACACAATAATATTTCTTTGATTTGGGAAATTATTTCCAAGTCAACTATACTTAACATTCCCCTTATTTTAGTCTGTACCTCTCACTTCCATCTTTTGAAGTATACCTATTTCAACATCCTCATACGCAGCATTTTAATTTGTGGACGCAAGATCTCCAGATTGATATTTACCAAACAAACCTAACTCTCCAAAAGTCAAAAAGGAATTTCGTCAGAGTTACGTCCAACAGAGAGAAGTACTGCGGGGGAAAAAAGATCATCCTTTTCAGCTACAGACCGTAATAAACCCACTGCACTTTAAGCACTGAGTCATCCAGGTTGAAAGAAAAACAAGGCAATCAAGAAGACAAGCAAAGAGGAAACCCGAAAGTAAAAAAAGAAAAAGAAAGAAAACCACGTTCCTTTGGTGCTTACATCCTTACAAAGGGTTTACTTTGGCTTGTCCCAGAGGGAGCCCATGCTAAAAGTTATCCTATCCAAGTTGCAATTCAAACCTCAGGCAAAAACAGGTTCCTACACCAATGTGGAGAGTCAAGAGAAACTTTCTTTTCCAACAGAAGAGGGAATTTATAGTTCGGGGTTGAACGGCGCAGATCTGCCTCAAAGGTGCTTTTTCCAAGGGCAACTGGGACCACGTTTCCTTCCTCGAGGAAGATCTTTCACCTCTCATCCAAGGAGCTTCCTCAGAAGAACCGGAGAAGCTTCTTGGGTGGGAAGCAAAACGTCTTCAAGGAAAAACCTAGGGAAGCCCGTCTGCCTTCTGAAAAAGCACCTTTGGGACCACATACTTGACCTGCCTAGGTGAGAATCTCCATAGACACGTGGAGGAGTCCTTGCTGCTCTCTTGAGCTTCCCTGGCCTTTCCCCGGGCAGACCTTTCACGACCCCACTAGGTATCGCCATCAGTGCCAGAAGGGAGGGGGCATTTGCAAACGAGGCTAAGGAACAAGGAGACGTCTTCAAGAAAACAGCCAAGCTCAGAGGCCCCCAAGGACCCCCCCGCCTTCCCACCCCACCCTACACACACACACACACACACACACACGCACACAGAGCCAACCCACGGGAAGGCATCCCACAGGCCTGGGCAGCCGTTTCCCCAGACGGGAGTGGGAGAGGAAGGAGGCGATGCTCGTCCGAGCCTCCCCACGCGGACTCCCCGCGGGCTCTCCACGTGTCCGTTCAGACGTGCAGCGCCCGGGCCGCGAGAAGGGCTGGGGCGGGGGCTTCGCCTGCCTCTCCCTTCCTTTGTCTCCTTCCCAGATCGCAGCCGAGGCAAGAGCCCGCCACACGGAGAGGCTGCCGGGCCTGGGGAGGGGGGAGAATGAGGGGAAGGGGCTCGCTTCGGAGAGGAGCGACCCCCGACCCAAAATGAGGGGGGGGAGGCGAGGGACAGCCCGGGCGGCGTTTAAACGCCCCGCATGGCCGGAGGTCTCCGCCCCCGAGGCGGGGGAGGGGAGGGTAAGAGCCCCCCCACTCGGGTGCCCCCCCCTCAGCTCCGGGCCTGCGGGGCGCCCCCTCAGCAGCGCAGGGCGAGGAGCGACCCCCTTCCCGCCCTCTCTCGCGAGCGTTCCCGTCGGCTACAGTTAACGGCGGGCGCCCCCGGCCAGAAAGCCAGCACGAGGCGGGCCGGCGCTCGGCCTTCCTACCGTCCCGAGGAAAAGCCGCTTCTCCCGGCTGGGAGGGGGCGCGAACCCGGGGCCACTGCCCCCTCCTTCGCTCAGCGCTCTAAGGGGGGGGGGGAGCGGGCCACCCCGGAAGCGCTTCCCGCGGACACGCCCTACAACCGCCGGCGCCCTATCGGAGAGACGCCAGCCGGCCCGAGGCGCGCGTCACAAAAGTGTTTCCGGGGCCCGTCCGGCCCGAACTTGCCCTAGCAACCGCGTCCGGTTGCTAAGCGGAATAGGGCGGGGCTTCAGGCGGCGGGGCTGCGCAGGCGCGCGGCGGCGGGAGGGTTTCCTTCAGCCGGGAGGAGACACGTGACTTGTTTCTGCGCTGATCCTGGAAAGCAATCTTCGCCTTGAACAGGGATGGGGGACCACTGGGAAATCCCAGGAAGTGGGGAATATCCAGGATGACCAAGGCAAATCTGTGCTAGGCTCCCCTCCTGAAAATAAAGGGTGCTGGGCGAGGGAGAGGTAGCTCTGCACCCCACAAGTGTTGCCGTCATGCAAATTATCCGTCACTTTATCAACACTGGCTTCCACTGTTTGTGCAAGGTTGGCGTTTGTGCATCAAGTGTCCTCTGAGGCAATCACGCTTCAGAGCAGGATTTTTCAACCTGGGCAATTTTAAAGATGGGTGGAGTTCAATTCCAAGAATTATTCCATCATTCAAGAGGATGGCCACAATAGTCCAACTGAAGAGACAACTTCTTTTCAAATGGGAATCCCACTTAATAAATAAATAAAGTGGCCATCTTGACTTTTTGGAAATACCCCACAGACATCACTGTGGCGTTTCGGAGGGTCTTAATTAGAACGTTGCTCAACTTCAGCCTAACCATTTCATAAGCAGAAGTTTTGCTGAGTTAGTAAGAATCTCATCCTACATTAAAAGCTACGAAACTTATAGCACCTCTCCGTATGCTTACAAAGGAGCAGAGAAGATTTATTCTGACTTCAAACGCAATGGCCTTTAGAGATAATGGGAATTCTGGAAACTCTAATCTCAACACAGCTGAAGAATATTGGGCCAAACATGTTAAAAATGAACCTCTTTTCCATCTTTCCCGCTGCCACAAAACTCGATACTATGAACATTCATAATCCATCATGATTTAAGAACTACAGTAACTGTAGTCTGCACAGAGACAAACTAGTTACAAAGAAAGCAAGGACAGCTATGCTGAATTCTATAAAAACTCTGCATTGTATCTTTATTAGGCCAATTCCACAATTACAAGTAATGTAGTAATTGGTTAACCAGAAAACCAGAAAACTCCACCCACAGTGCTGCAAAACAAAGATGGAAGCAAACTGGAACATCTTTAGAAGCATTAATACGTTCTTTCTAATATCAGCGATTCTGTGCTTCGTGTTGCCTTCGTACCACAATTTGGCCTACTTGAGCTATTATACAGAGCCATGTAGAAATTCTACGATTCCGCCACTGTAATGAGGTACATTTCTTGGGCCTTATTTCTTTTAAAGCCAAAAGAATTATTCAGCATTTTCTAGTTTACAGAAAAAACTCGGTATTTAGCATAGCAACAGTCAAATAAACTTTTTTTTACAGAAGCATAAGGATGTTATTTAACACCGATATGGCACAGAAGTGCATAAAGCAGCAAAACGAGTTTTAATACAAAGCATGTAGTTACTAGTTAAGAATCATTAAAACACTTAAGTATTAAGAGCATTGTATCAATGACTTGTCCCTTTTTTTAGTCTGTCAACTTTTTAGTCAACAGAGTAGTATGCTAGAACTAGATGCTTATCAACATAAAGGCTCAAATTCAAACGGAATATATGCAATATATATATACAGCCTATACATAACACTCTGAGCGCATAAGATCTGCTTGCCAGAAGCAGGATAGCTCACATTTGATCATCTTCAGATTCTTCCTGTTCTGCAGGACAGGGAGGCAAAGGACGTGCTCTGTCAATGGAAAGAAAATACAAGTCAGCAATCATTCATAGTTTTAAAATTCCAGTAACCTGTATTTTCAACAGCTGGGATTAGAAGAGGCTAAAAATATTGTAAAGGCATGCAGCCTTCATCTTGAACTGGAATCTGTTTTCCAGTCAGATTAGCAACCTAAACTCCCTTGTCACACAGTCACTTCCTTTTTTTCTGTGTTGCCATGAATAAAGATTTCAGCACGTGATCTACTGAAACAAAGCACAGGTCGAAAATTCTATTATATAGGTCAGTGAATCTAGGCAATGCTGGAAACACTCTTTTAAAAATCACTTGCAAAAAGCAATGAAATAAAGCGTCATTGCGTGGCCCCACTATGAGAAAATAGCGTATTTTCCGGCATATAAGATGACTTTCTAACCATGTAAATCGTCTCCAAAGTCGGGGGTCGTCTTATATGCCGAGTCGTCTTATACGCTGGAAAATATGGTAAGTTTCCCCAAAACTTTTGCCCCTAATAACTAATAAAAATCTGTTTTGGACATCTTCCCCAAAACTCATGCTGTACTGAGTGAACTAGGCTAGTGAATTGTCATTTCACTGAGCAGTAACTAAAATGGTTAGATCAAGTGAGGCAGAAGTTTGAAAACATATTTCCCAAATTCTTCTAGAGCAGTGGTTCTCAACCTGTGGGTCGGGACCCCATTTGGGGTCGAACGACCATTTCACGGGGGTCACCAAACAAGGCTGTCCGCCATTTTTTCCCCCTTTTCTTTGGCCACGCCCCTGGCACCTGGTGATGTATAAGTGGTTGGGGGTCACCACAACATGGGGAACTGTATTATGGGGTCACGGCATTAGAAAGGTTGAGAACCACTGTTCTAGAGAACATTAAACCTTGGCTACTGTGGCAGGTGTTTTGCCACTAGGAATGTGCAGATAGCCATCCTTACTTCTTTCTGCGTTTTCCTATTTCGCTGCACCCGGGCTCCTCCTCCAAGTTGTGGTTCTCCTTTTCCAGGCGACTGGGAGTTTGCCTGAAGAATTCTCCAATTCCTTTTTGCCAGGCTGGAGTTGGCCTCACACATACCGGATTGCCTCCTGCATACTTACTTTCAGCTGTAGAAAGCAAACCAGAATTTATCAGTGCCCAGCTAACAAAGAAAAAAGCAACATAACCAATTTACATATCACAATCCTCGATGTATGATCATTTGTTTGATGACAGTTGGAAGTTATGATGGCCCTGAGAAAAGTGATTTGCAACCTGTCCTCAGAGTTGACTGTGGCACACCCCGTGTGGGTCATGCAACCACAATCCAGGCATCTAGCAACCAACTCTCATTTACAACAGTTGCAGCATCTTGCAATCATCTGACGGCAATTTGCAACCTTCTCAGCCAACTCCTAGAAGCAAAGTTCCTTGGGGACGCCAGATTCACTTAACAACCCTATGATTTGCTTAAACCAGGGTGAAAATAGTTGTAGTCAGGTCTGGTCACTCGATAACTCATTTAATGACTGTATCATTTAGCGACTTAAATTCCAGTTTCAATTGTGGCTGTAAATCAAAGACAACCAATAATAGCTACAAAGGCTTCTAACCCCCATATGGATAAATCTCTGAATGCACAAGCTATCCCTAGTTACTTAAAACAAGCCATCTTTGCTAAAATGTAAGGCAAGAGTGCCGGAATGCATCAGATCAGCAGTTTCAAGGATCTGCTCTCATGGAAGTGTATGTGGAGCTGCTACTTATTTTTAAAACATTTGAGGAATTCAGCCCAGAGCATTAAAAGCGCAAATTATTTTAGGCCCGGCTCAAATATATTTACGCCAGAAGAAACAGCAGAATGTTAGAAAAGCCCAGCAACCGTATTATATTTGGCAACAGCCCTGTTGTGTTGCAGCTCTGGATTAAACAGCCGCAGCATAGTGTTAATTTAAACCAGGGGTCTTCAAACTTGGCCCTTTTACGAGTTGTGGACTTCAACTCCCAGAATTCCTCAGCCAGAGGAATTCTGGGAGTTGAAGTCCACAACTCGTAAAAGGACCAAGTTTGAAGAGCCCTGGTTAAAACAAAGTTGAAGGAAAGCAACGAAGCACCATGAAGGAGGTAAGTGGAGCTTCAGACGGATTATAGGCAGCCTTCAATTTACAACAGTTCATTGAGTGACTGTTCAAAGTTACAACAGCACTGAAAAAAGGTGACTTATGAGCATTTTTCAAGTTACGGAAGCAACTGGGATCCTATTTCAGAGGCTTAGCAACTGCTACATATTTATGACGGTTGCTGTGTCCCTTTTGTGTCCTCTGACAAGCAAAGTCAATAAGGAAGCCAGATTCCCTTAACCACCAGGTTACTAATTTATCAACCCCAGTGATTCACTTAACAACTATGCCAAGAAAAGTCATCAATTGGGGCAAAACTCACTCAACAAAGGTCACAACGTAGCAACAGAAATTTTGAGCTCAGTTGGGGCTGTAAGTCGAGGTACTTGCAGAGCCGTTCTAAATTGAAAAGCACCAACGGCCTGCAGCCTTTGTCCAAAGGAACATGAAAGCCAGTCAGATATACACACTCACCTTTCCTTGATGTAGGAGACAAGCTAACACTCGCCTGTCCAGAGCCCAGCACCTTCCGCGGAGCTCTAGCAGCTACCACTGGCACAAAGAAAGGATTAGAGATTATTTATACTTAAAGATTCCATAAAGTCCGAAGGCCTCAGACCAGTTGCTTCTCTGTCATTCCGCACACAGTAGGACAATCAAAAAATGCAGGTGCTAAAATGGTAAGAAGACTGAATGTGCCCTACTTCAGGGTGTTTCCAGTCTAAGCTAATGGAAGTTGACTGGATGCCGTTCTCCATGCTGCGTGAAAGCAGCCCAAGACAAGCCCTTTATCTTTGGTCTTCTTGAATTAAAAGTCAGCACTCCTTTCCCTTTAAGGAGGCTAATAAATAAATAAATAAATAGAGGAATCACAGAAAGCTGACTTTTGTGTATTTTATCTCCACAGCAACCATGCAAAGTAGGGCTACCTTGAATAAGAGCATTTCTACATTCCAAAGGGATTGCACTGGGAATTGCAGTACACACCCAGGGGTCAATCAACATGGTCAAGCTGACAACCTAACGGGCCTGTGCACCCTATGCTAATCTCAGTAGCCTTTTTTTACAGCTTGCTGTGTCTTTAATCCGGCTTAATGGCCTAAAACGTAGTTAAAATCCACCCCATTTAGAAGGAAAATGGAGGAATGCAAGGCAGCTGCTTTAAATATGACAATCCATACCATTCTTTTAACCAGGAAGCTACAAACCACGCTGCTTAAGTGAGTTAGTTGTACCTTTCTTTCTTTTTTACCTGGCTCACCATCATGCACGAACCTAACCTTTTAAAGCAGGTAATTAATTGCTGGAGACCTTATGCAATTGGACTAATTCTGCATCCTGGTTAGCTTTGTATCCCACTTAATTCTGCATCCCGATTAATTCTGCATCCTATTTAATTCTACATCCTGGTTAGTTTTGTATCCCACTCACTTCTGCATCCCGGTTAATTCTGCATCCCACTTAATTCTGCATCCTGGTGAGTCTTGTATCCCACTCACTTCTGCATCCTGGTTAGCTTTGTATCCCACTCACTTCTGCATCCTGGTTAGCTTTGTATCCCACTCACTTCTGCATCCTGGTTAGCTTTGTATCCCACTAAATTCTGCATCCTGGTTAGTTTTGTATCCCACTCACTTCTGCATCCCGGTTAAGCCTGTGCAAATGCTTTTACCTTTCCGATAGGCACCGGCGGTGCCTCCGCTGTTCGCCTTGGTCCGCACCATGCCCGTCCCTTGCCGCCGCACCAAAAAGAAAAAAAAAACCCAAGAAAAAGGAATAAAACCAAACCCGGGAAAGGAAAGCGGAATAAAAGGCAAAAGGCGAAACTGTCCAGCAAACGGCGGAGCTGCTACTTCCTCCTGCCGCAATATTCGGGCTTCCCGCGCGCGCGCCGCGCTCCCATTGGCCGAGGCGGAGAAGGCGAACGGCCAATCACGAGCCAGCCCGCGACTTTCACCCGCGGTTCAAAACTCCGGCCGCGTCTGGCTTCACTTCGCCGACCGGAATCGCCCTTAGGCGGGATCCCCGAGCCCCGGGCCGCCGCCGGTCGAAGGAACCGGATCAGGGGAAGTTTGACTGGGCTCCTCTGGGTCTGAATCGAGGGAAGGACGCCTCCGCCGAGGCGGGCAATCATAACTGAACGTTATGCATTTTTTTTTCAAAAAAATATAGTTATTATATATTGAAGATTTTACATAAAAAGTAACAAGCAGATCTAAAGAAAAGGAGAAAAAAGAAAAAAAATGGAAGAAAAGGAGAACAGCCCACGACGCGTCCACCTCTCTAGGACAGGGGTGTCAAACTCAATTTCATTGAGGGCTGCATCAGCATTGCGGTTGCCCTGGGGGGGGGGGCGGGGTGTGTGTGGCCAGGGTGGGTGTGGCCTACTGGGTGGGCATGGCCAGTTCTACATCGTTCGCGTCAAGGGAGCCTGTGGGGGCCTGGGCAGGAGTGGGACAGATCTGAGGGTCTCTGGCAGAAGGGTGGGACCGGGGCAAGCGCCAAGGCATGGTCCATTTCTTCATTCCTCACAAAGGGTGACCCCTCCCCAGCATGCAGACGGCCTTGTGGAGCTAAGACTGAATGCGTTTCAGCATAGATGGCCACCACAAAATTGTACATTGGCTCCCAGCTGGTCTGGGCCAGGGCCAAGACAGCGGGGGGGGGGGCGTTCCCTCACTGTTTCCAGGACGGCTTCTCGGGCCACATGAAACTGCTTTGCGAGCCGCATCCGGCCCCTGGGCCTTGTGTTTGACATGTCTGCTCTAGGAGTTGTAAAGAATGGAATCAGGTAAAGAATGGAATCCAAGGATATGAAAAATATAAATGTGTAATACACCAGATTATGAACTGGCCACGCTGGCTGAGTTTGTGCAGTGCTGCACTAGCTAACCATGTTTTAGCCCAGTGTATTATACGAAGCCAGCTAGTGAGATATTACTCTGAAAAAAACATGCATACCAAGGATAATCCTGTAGAGATCTAATAGCATCTATGCTAAATAAATCTCAAGGAAAACGGGGTATAAATTAGAAGCACAATCCCCTTGTTTAAATCTGGAATTACAAAGAGAACTCATTCCTTATCTTTAAGACCCCTGCTAATTACCAATAAACACCTCCTTAAACCCTTTTTTGTTGTTACCTAGCTGGAAAAGTAAACAGTTCCATTCCACATCCAATCAAAGCTCAACTTAATTAGATTTACAATACAGCCAATCTAAACCCATCAAACTTTGGTTGAAAGTGATAAAAGACAGCTTGTTTCTGTAACTCCATCCATTATCATTGTAATATAACCCTCAAAGCTTAATTGATGTTAAGCCACTTGAGTTCCATTGTCATTCACCAGCAGCAAAATGCCAAGAACAACTGGGGTTAATTTGTTGATTGAGAAATCTATCACAAGCATCTTCCCAGGCCTGAGATAAATGCTTATCGGAAATGGAATATACAGTGATTGTCTAATATTTATTTTCTAAATACATTTTTATTTTCTTTGCAATTGTTTTCTTGCTTCAGTAAAAGAGGAAGTTGAGTATAGACAGTCCAACTGAATCCTAGTGCTTCCCTTGTTCATGAAGCCAACAAGATAAATAAAAGCGGCAGGAATTTCCTGATGTTCTATGTTTAAAAGTTATACTTGTGTTTCCACTTGATAGCAAAGGTTTCCACTGCCTTTTTCTCCAACAGTTGGCTAATCATTGCAATAAACTGCTTCTGGGAACAAATAAACAAAATGTCTATTTTGGTTTGACCATGTCAGTTTGGGGAAAACACATTTTATGAAGGATGATCTAAATCATTGGGTGGCCCATTCCACTAAGTATTGATAACCACATCCCCCAAAAATAGACAATTGCAAGCCTGTTAAAACTTACTTAAAAAAAAAAAAAGAACAGTAACAATGCAAGCTTGGAAGGTTTCCCTAAAAATTCCCCACACCATTAACTGAGTTTTAGCATTATATAAGGAGAATGTCATAGGGGAGCTGTGTTTGTGCAAAATGTCTGCTGGTTCATCCAATTCATCCAATTTTCCAGCTTTACTGCATCCAGTTTCGATCATCAAATTACAAAAAAAGATATTGAGACTTTGAAAAAGGTGCAGAGAAGAGGAACTAAGATGATTAAAGGCCTGGAGACTAAAACTTATGAAGGCTATATTAGCTCTTCTGGTTGTGTTTAGATTTGGGTATAACAATAAAAGTGCTGATGAACCCATGGCAAAACTCTAGCTAAACATTTAGCCTTGTCTTTCGGCTCCTGTAACCAATTGCAGATGTGTGTCCTTGAATGCAAGAATGCAAGAAGTCAGCAATCTGCAGCTAGCCATTTTCTAGTCATAAACAGTGGAGCAATGTCCTAGCAGGAAAGCTGTATAATATTCACAGCTTAGGGACTCAACTTTTTCTTTAAAAAAGAGACATTTTCCTTTTGATGAAAATTACAAAGAATTATTTTTAGGGAGGAGGAGATTTTGATGCTACAAAGTTGAATTTATTTTATATCTCAAGGTTGGGCCTTGAGGTATGAGACAAAGTTAATTGGTATGGAGATGAATAACGAACCCCATTATAGAAAAGTTGGGATGGTGTCAGAAGGGGCTGGTTTAAACAAGAATAGAATAAAGATGTCTCCTTACATATTCCAAGTATATGTCTTTTTCCCTCTGCTTCTTTTGACTTTGAGATTTTTGGGATTGTTAGTTTGGTTTCTTTACTCCTTTTTCTCTTTTTCAAATTCCTGGAGAAAATAATTGGTTTCAACCAAGATTTTATTTTGCTAATCCATATGGTTGTTTTTAGCCGTTGTGAATTGTGTGATGTGGCCCTAATATCAATGTTAGGTATTTTTATTCTAATCCTTCCCCCAAACGTGTCTAAAGTAGAATATATATTTCACACACAAACACTGAGGGTCCAATAGGGACATGTTTTGGAGTCAGTATTACTCAACATTTTTATGAATGATCTAGAACAGTGATGGCGAACCTTTTACAGACCAAGTGCCCAAACTGCAACCCAAAACCCACTTATGTATCATCGGGTGCCGGGTGGGCGTGGCCCATTGGGTGGACATGGCTGCGGTGGTAACAGCAGATTGGGTGGGACTAAAAAGCTCAATCAATCAGTTCCAACTTTGCAAGATCTTTTTTTTTCTCGCGAGAAATTGATCGATTGATTCAACGCTTTTTTTTTTTTTTTGCACACGGCGGCAGAGCCCTAAAGCTTAAAGGTTTTATAAAACTCAGCTGAAGGCCTAGGACTGGGGCGATGGCGTGTGTGCCCACAGAGAGGGCTCTGAGCGCCATCTATGGCACGCATGCCATGGGTTCGCCACCATGGATGTAGATCAAAGGATTAATGTGCTGATTTTCAGGTTTGTGGATGACACAACATTGGGTGGTCCTGCCAACACCAGGCTAACAGAATTTGCAATTTAATCTGGGCAAGTTGGAAGACTGAGATGAGAAAATAAAGATTTTCAAGAGGGAGAAATGTAAGCTATCACCCTTAGGAACTTAAAGTTAAAGCCCACATTTCTTAAATTTGCCAAGTTTGAGAAACACCGGACTTTCTTGATCCTATCCAACTCCACTAAGATATTTTGATTCAATAGAACAACATGAGACAAAACAATCAAGAATAAAAGACCTATTCAGAGACAATAATTAATAAACCCAAAAGGATGAAAACAAAGACCTTTTAAAAAAAGGAACTCAGTTATGAGCAGTCTTTACCCTACTAATATTTGGACAGCATCCAAGCTTTCAGTTATTAATGAAAACAATTTTCATTAAGGGGAACAACCATTGGCTTTCCACATTGCCCAATAGTTGCCTCAAGACCTCAGATAAGCCCTTCGCTCTGCCTTTTAACCAGTGGAGTCGGCAATCTCCTTTTGAAAGGTTTAAAAGCAAACTGCCTTTGCTTATTTCAAGGTTCTCAAAGAAGATAAGATAATTTTTAAGGGGCAGACTGCAGCACGCTTCACTTCCTGCAGGATACAGAAACAGTTGCTTCAGAGGTGTCCGTCCAGAAACAACGTGAAGGTAAGAATTGAGGAGAGAAATTTTTGTTTTGTCTTTTTAATTTCTTCCTGGTTCTCTTCTTTTTTATTATTCTTCAAATGCATTTATTCTAAATCCTGCAAGATTCTTTGTTTCTTTCCTGTGCCCAGTTTTACTTGGCTGCATTTTCGTTTGTTTTTTTCTCCTGCAAATTCCTGCATTGTCAGCTCAGATCTTTATACTTTTTGGGGTCAGATTCTTGTTCTGCTTTTTGTGCCTTAATATCTATGGAGGAGTGGGATCCAGGAAGGCAAGGGGGGAGGTTTTTTTGTGTGGGGGTATGTATTTTTGCATCAGGTTACCCACTTTGGAATAACTATCATGTCCTGTTTTTGAATTTTCAAGCAACTTAAAATATGTTGCTTGGAACATTGATCGGCAGAGTTCCCGGCTTACCAAGTTTTAAACACCCCGTGTATCAAAACCCAATTTTATTTGAACAGAAGTGGCATAATTTATTTTAAGTTTCTTTTGGAAATAAATGTTCTTTATTCTTTCTGCTTTTATTACACCAAAGTTGATAGGTTTAGGGTTCATAGATGGAATTCATCTGGTCTTATATTCACCCGTTTTATGAATATTGCCAGCCCTTCTTTTCTATTATTTCCTTTGTGATCTTGGGAGAAGGTAGAATTACATTTTATTCTTTCACGTATTTGCAGGATAAGTTGAATGTAAGAGATCAAAATTTTCTTTAGCAACAGATAAAAAGAAACCGTTTGCAGGTAGTCCTCAGCTTATGACCACAACTGAGCCCAGAGTTTCTGATGTTAAGCGAGACATTTGTTAAGTGAGTTTTGTCCCACTCTACGACTTTCCTTGCTACAGTTGTTAAGTGAATCACTGCAGTTGATAAGTTAGTAATCCGGTTGTTAAGCGAATCTGGCTTCCCCATTAAGCATCAACCAGTTGCCAAGAATCTGAATGTTGATCACGTGACCTTGGGGATGCTGCAATGGTTGTAACTGTGTCACCTTTTTCAGTGCAGTTGTAACTTTGAATGGTTACTAAATGAACTGTTGTAAGTAGTCAAGAACTACCTGTATCACGTCCTGTATTGTGTTACAGCCATAAAACCTCTCCATAATTTCTTACAGAATTACTCTTCCATTGTCATAAGGGGTTAACTGAACTTATTTTCCTGCTTTAGATGTTAGTTAGCTTTTATCTCCTCCACCTCTTTTTTACTCTGCC